GCATCGCTACTAGGAGCAAGGACGCTACTAGGCGCTCCTGGCCTTACCACTAGGAGCAAGAAGCTACTAGGAGCAAAGGGCATCGCTACTAGGAACAAGGACGTTACTAGGAACAAGTGCATCGCTACTAGTAACAAGTGCCTTACTAGTAGTAACAAGAAGCTACTAGGGGCTCCTGGCATCGCTACTAGGAGCAAGGATGCTACTAGGAACAAGGACGTTGCTAGGAACACCGTGTTCAACGAACCCATGACTGAGTTTGACCGTTTGACCAAGCCCCTTTGAACGCTTTCTGTTTCCAACCTCCGCATAGGCTGCTCGAGCTCTTCTTGCATCCATGGGATCTGTCATCGTAGCACTGGACACCTGGAAGCGACTTTATCCGCCGCCCAGTCATAAAGCCTGATGTTCTGCATGCCAACAGGTTCTGCAAGACCACTGATAGGTGCACGCGCACAACCACTAAGTCACTAAGCCAGGAAAAACCAAGCATACATGCAATGGACGTACACAGGCAAAGGGCAAAACGACATTGGACATTTTAGAGTATGCAAGGACTGCGCAATGATGAAAGAGTTCTGTGCATGCGGAGTAGATGGCCGGCAGCATGGGCTCAACAATGCCTTGCCACTTTGGGAAAGACTTCTGCCAACTGGCCTGTGGCAAAGATGCAATAGCTCATCAAACCAACATGTGCACGAAAGAGAGAGAGAGAGAGGAGCCTAATAGCGATGGCAGTTCCTGATCGTTGTTGGGCAGTTGTCTTCAAAACGGTGTGGGAAGGAACAGGGGTGGTTCCCGGACAGTTTTGTTTCGTGACGGTCACCAAACATCCATCAGCTCGTCATCTCAAAAACGTGCCAAACGTGTGAGGCTCACTCTGGGTGTCCATGCTTTGAACGCCGCAGCCTTGCTGAGTTCTAATTCTACACTCTTCGAGCCAGATTCTCACAGTGACTTCAAATGGCATTCCACCCTTGTGTCCAAGCGCATACGTCTTCACTGCATGTCATGTTGAAGTTATTCTTGCAAATTGCCCTCATGACAGGCAGTCGTTGTCCATCACATGCTCAAAGGGCAAACACTTGGGTCATACGTCCCACGCTTCAACAATCTTGTTTGTGATGACACTACTCACTACTCCTGTTAACAGTGCACTCAAACGTAGGAGGATGATCGATAAAGAAGTGGTCAAGCGTATTCAAGTCCGTCTCCAAAGAACATCCGAAGTGGTCCAAGCAAACTCGGACAAAGCACCGAAAAAGGCTCTCCGCACTTTTTGGGTCACACAAAATGAGCCAGGAGCCCTGTGGTGGGGTGAAAGCAAACCGATCTACGAGGAAAACAATGAGCCATCTTGGACGACTTGGTGTTCACAACTTCGAACGGAGAAAGTACGAGGCTTGTAACACCGTTTCAAGTCTTTGGGGCGCAACCACGCTAGTAGTAACAGGTGCCTTACTAGTAGTAACAAGAAGCTACTAGGAACAAGTGCCACGC